AAAAACATATTTGATAAATCTTTCCCGTGTCACTCTCTTCAGTTTTCCAGCCGCCGCCGCTGCTGCTGCAACGACGTCGAATATTGTGGCAGGGTACATGCAATATATTTCTTTGCTATGTTTTGTTCTCTTCATCTTCAAACCGGTTTTTATTGCCGTCACCTAACCTTTTTCCCATCCTTATTGTCTTCCACGCCAAACTTTCTCTTTCTCCGTTCTATTCTCCGCAGTTTCAAGAAAAACCTTTTTACATCTCTCCGCGTATGTTAGCTAGGAGTAAATGGTGTTTCAATAATCGTACATCATTGAATTTTCTCGGCGCAAAAAAATAGAAATTTTCCCTTATCTCTCTTTGTCTCAGCGACCCAACACACTTCTCCCACCGTATACTCTTTATCTCACAGCCGAAAATTGAACGAACAAATATGACCGAATCGTGTTCGCTTTATTTAAAACAATATCGGCGATATTCCAAGAATACATTAATTAAATTTTTGCCGGTATAATAATATTGAGGAAAAATCACCGGCGCTGATAAAATATCAACATATAGATATTTTTAAATAAAACTTTTTTATAGGTAAGTTAAAAAAATTTTTTAAATTCTTAACAATATATATATATATATATATATATATATATATATATATATATATATATATATATATCGAATTTCATGTAATTCTTGCGATTTTAAATATAGGAGAAAAGTGGCATGAAAGAGTCAGGTTTTGAAAAAGCTATTTTCAATTATTCGGCAATTTCTCTCTGAACGAATCTCTCGCGGAAATTTTAATTTTTATACAGCAACGCTAGACGTGTGTCATCCACAAACATTTGACAAATTGTTAAAAATAAATAGCGCCGGTGCATCACATTAAAGATTTTGTCGATGAAAAGTAAATTTTTGAGTTTTATTTCTTTGTTTTTTAACATTTTTATGTAAAAACAAAAGACAAAAATTATTATATCATGATTTTATATATGTATTTAATCTCTTAATTATGTAAATATTTCTCATTTATAGAATTAATTTGATAATGTATTTTGAGAGCTTATTACTTTTTAAGAGGAAAAGTTTCGAAAGAGCCGGACTATAGTGTGAAAAAAACTATTTTTTTCGCAATATTTTAAAATTATTTTGGAGGGTATTCGGGGTCCTTCATATACGAGATGCAAAACTAGCATCCTATATGAATTTAAAGAATTGAAATTTCAATTCAAAAACTCACATGAAAAATGTGAGTACGTTTATTCATATGTGTGCACATGTGTATATATATACACAGGCATATTTTCCGCACAACATCCTGCGAATGGCTCTTCACGTGACAGGAAAAAGGATAAAAAAGAGAATATTATATATATTATATGTAATATTCTATATCTATATATAATACACACACATACGCATATATGTATATATATATATACATATATGCGTATATATACCGTAATCACGTGACCGAAGTCAGTAACACCACCGCGGTCGCGCGACCGAGGTCAGTGACTCTACCGCAGTCGCGCGACCGAGGTCATTGACCCCGCCAAGGCCTCGCGGCCGAGGTCAATGCTCCACCAAGGCCACGCGGCCGAGGTCAGTGACCTTACGGTAGTATGTATATAATATATATAATATAAAGTATAACATTATAAATATGTAATATAAATTATATGTATAATATATATTATTTTTAGTATATTATTATTATTATTATTATATATTATATGTTATAATATATTATGACAGCTAGTAGGAATATATATATTAACCCTTTGCACTCGAGTGGCGTCGCTAAGGCGCCCGTCCGATTTGAAGCGTCTACTCGAGCGGCGTCTACTTTTGGTGTATTCAATATAAAAATAAATAAATTAGTGAAATTTTATTATTTGTATACGTTTGTTTGAGTATAAATAATTTTAAAGTACCTGTAAAATGATTCTCTATAAGCTTCTCTATAGCCGAAATCGTCTCGAGTTGCTGGTTCGCGCGAGCGAAAAAGGCCTCGAGTGCAAAGGGTTAAATAATAATTATATATATATATATACCGTTTTGTAGTGAGAATTTTAAATTCGTTATCACGTTAATCATCGATTAACGGACGACGTCACAGCGACTTACGTGCTAAGCTTTCCATTACCAAAACTTATCTGCAAGACGCTTCGCGTGTCTTCTGACCAGATGGTTAGGTCCGACAAAGCTTTCAATAACTTGCACAATCCCGGGGAAGTTCAGTTTCAGACGGCTCGTCTGCGAACGTCGCGCGCCCGTTATACAAGGGATCTCGCGAAAGGGTCAACGACATCCATTCCCGAGACCTCTCGGAGGAATATATACGGGCTTTCTTTTCCTAACTCCGCGCGCCCCTCTAAAGTTCCCTCAAACTTAGATTAGCGATTCAATTTCGCCCGCCAGTGAATCATCTTAAAAATCGTTTTTTAATCGGGACACTGTGTAACGAACAAAACGTCCGACCTTGCCGAGAGCGACTTTTCCTGCCTCAGTTTTTCCCGCCCTTCCGTTTGCTCGTTCTCCCCCTTCCCGTCTCATCCCCCCCGATAGATTTCCGCGCCATCCATTCAACGCCGCCGCCCAGCCCGACGATCGGGCAAAGATTGCTTCATCTGCTAATGCTCATCTGGAATTCCGTTTTTTTCTTTTCCGCCGAGAGAGAATCCTCGGATATATCGCCCTCATTATATATCGCCCCCCACACGCTAATCTGTTCTTTGACAAATCTGTAAATGTTAGTTATAATTCTTCGCAGCGTTCGTTTGTTTTCTGCAAAATCAAACCGTTTGCGGGAGGGAGATGCGATATGCAAATGACGCGAGACAAAAATTCGTTACTTCAAAAACAAGAGAAGAATTACATTTCAATGAGTCGTATTATCATATAATTCCTAAAAATTTGATTTCAAAGAAGCGTGTCGCTTCTGTAATGAGAGACGGCGAGGACGCAACGCGTCTTCATCGGATATACACGAGATATTAAAAATTTCAAACGAATTTTCGATCCTCGCACATTATCTCAGAGGTTTTTTTTTTTTTAAATAGAATCTGTAATAGACTCCTGTCTGTTACAAAATACACGACAAACACGACTCATTTATTTTTTGTAATTGTTTAAGTGTTTTGAATTTTGTAATGTTGAGTTTATACTGACAAATTTGACAACTCTATAATTAACGATTGATAAGGACTTAAAAAATAAAGTCGAAACGTCTCAATTGCATTTTTTAATTTTTCTACGGCACAACATCCTGCCATGGCTCATTATTGCCCTGCTAACCCGAGTCGAAATTTAGCGTCTACATTGAACCTCAAGTTTTCTTTTTTTATGTAGGAGTAAGAGAGAAAGTAGATCCTACTTTGACGCTGCTATACGTCCGAAATTTCCTTTTTTCCTGCTAAAGTTTTAAAGTAGGGTTCAATTCTCAGATCAGCCTGCGCATTGCAGGCTCTGATAGGCTCAAAATAAGCTCTGATAGGCTCAAAATAAGCTCTGATAGGTTCAAAGTAGAAGTAAGAGAGAAAGTAGA